GATCACATCATCATGCTTCCAATATGCGTCGACCCATTTGTGCATAGAATTCACAAGCATTCACCACTCAGACGGTTATCAACAGCCGTTCTCCGTATGGATCATCATGCCAAGCAAGAGGAAACGGCACAAAGAGGAAGGCAATGAGGAGTACCTTATGTTCTACAAAGCCCGTTTGGATGATTTTAAAAGACACAAATGGCAAAATTGACGTGGTGAAGCAGTTTGTGAAAGAAATTTGAAGACATGGATCGATCTGTACCAACCTGCGTGTAATAAAGTTTTTCTTATTACATTTTACATGTTGCACATCACAATTAATTTCTCTATTATGGAAATCCATTTTCAGTAGATGGCAGAAAACTGAATGCTGGGGAAGGTTCACGCGCCTTTTCATTGGGTTTGGTGTATTGATTGCTCCAGGAGTTGGCAAAAGGTCCCAAAGATTCCAAAGCAATAGCAAATGAGTAGCAAATCATTGCTGAATTTTGCAATACAGTACTTTGTAGTAGTAATTTGAGATTTAACAGTGTCGTATCTTGTATCTTGTAATTAACTGTTTACTTGTATCTGTCACGTAGCGAGGTGGTGGTGGACAGATCTCTGATGGAGTGTCTCTCCAAGCAGTGGGGTGCGGCCCATCATATGCCATTTTCTTCTTCTTGGGAAGGGTTGAAGCCTAACTTACAGGAAAACGACAACCTAGAATAGCAACGAACTTTGCATAGCAACATTTGCAGATAGCATGATCAGGTGATACAATGATACTGTCACGTTGCGAGGTGGTGGTGGACCCCAAAAAAGCAGGCAGGAGGGAGGAGCAGGGTGTACTTGAAAGATTGTATTAAAACTCAGCGAAAACGAAATCCAAAACAAACAAAGTCCGAAGTATCAAACAAAACACATGACTGAAGATAAAACATAACACTGACCAAAACATGACTGAAACAAACATGACAGTAGCACAAAGCAACAATGACCCGACAATGATTGCTCGGGCTGGGAGTCCTTTTAAAGCCACTAATTACCTAATGACCAACAGGTGTGCAGCTGCAGGGGGAGCCCTACAGTGCCACCTGTTGGTCCCAAACCGAATCATGACA